AGACGTAGCCAGCCGATGCAAAACCGGAACGAAGCAGAGTGATGTAAGGGACGATGATAGAGACGTTGGAGGGGTCGATGCTCCGTCGAGCACTTCCACCGACCGCCTTCGCGAACACCGGTCGCCTTCAACGCCGACAAAGCACCTCCGGTATATCATTTTCTCCCACGAAGCGACTAGGAACAACAATGCTCCTCAAAGGCACTCCTCATGTATCGCCGCCTCACAAATGTACAGGAAGCCATCAAAGGAAGAAAATGGTGGGTTGAAGAGAAAACGATGAATAGCAGAAGAAATTGGAGCCAGGCAGCAGCAGAATAGCAACGAAAGTAAAGAAGGAAGAAGAACGAAATAAGGAAAATGTATTGGACGACGAGGGCGGCAAGGCGGCCACCAAAGCGGATAAGAAGGAAAGGAAAAAAGAGAAGAGTTTGGCTGCTTTTATGAAAATGTAAACTTGAGTGACAGAAGAAGAAAGATAAAAAAAAGTTACTGTTCCCCAACTTTTTAAGCTTTTATGGTATATATAATTCATTCAACTTCAAAGTATAGTTTGTGTTCTCATGTCATCATTTCTTCATCTTATTCTTTGAACCTTAGCATTCTAATATACATATATGAATTTTATCTATATCTCCATTTTAACCAATTATTAGATGTCATAAGTATTAATTAATTATCATAAATTGAAAAACTCTTGTATGATTAATTGGTTGGAACCTGAAGAGTTTTAATAATAAAATAAACTCTTGAGTTGTATGGTTAATTATTTTGAACCGTATTTATTTGGATGATCTCTGTTACAGTACAAAATAGACTAGGCAAATCCTCGTGCGTTGCGCGCGAATATAATTATTTAATTAAAATAATAAAATTTTACAAATTGTGATTTAGTATTTATAAATGCAAAAACCAATTTCAGTAGCAAAATAAAACATATAGTTAACCTATTAGTTTTATTAACTGTAGTAAGTTTATATCATTGGTTATTTCTACTATTAATTGATAATTTTATAGACCGTTTTATGTTGTATAAATTGTATATCAAACGTATGTTGATTTCTATATATATCAAATAACAAAGTAGTATGAAAAAATAAATACTATAACTTCTGATGATTTTATAGACCGTTTTAAGTTGTGCAATTCTATATAAAACATATGTTGATTTGTATATAAAACAAATAAGAAATAATATGGAAAAATACTACAACTTTTAACAACATAAAAACATTACAACATTTAGTATAACATTTATATCAAACAAAACTTATTAAACACTTATAAATCATTCAAAATCAATATTTATAAATCAACATACATTTGATATATAGAAACATTGTTATAAAAAAAATCGCGTTGAATCAAATATTTTCAAAACAACATTTAAAATAGAAACTCTTGAGTTGTATGCAATAATGTAATATAAATATCGACAATTATATGTTATAATAACAATATTATTGGAATTTATCATTAAAATAATGATTTTTACACTAAGTTGTAACTAATTTTATAATTATTTTAAGTATACGATAAGATAGATATAATAAGTTGTGTTTGAATTAAATTAAATAAAGTTTTTTATTTAATAATAATTACAGGTAGTTTTAAATGATTTCGAAATAATTTATTTAAGTATTTTTATTTCATTTATTATTATTATTATTATTATTATTTCAAATAACAATCATTTTTTAAGAGTAAATTACACGAAAGGTCCCTATGGTTTGGAGTAATTTGCGCACTTGGTCCTTAACTTATTTTTTTAACTTGGAAGGTCCCTACTGTTTGTTTTTGTTGCGCGCTTGGTCCCTATTATTTATTTTTGTTACACGTTTGGTCTCTGTCTTACCTAAAAAGACTATTATTTAAATAGTGAAAAATGGTAGGATATATGTAAGGTAAGGTAAGAGTGTGGGATTGGAGGTGTGTTTATTTAAATAAATTAAAAAAATCAAGGGCAAAATAGTCTTTTTAGGTAAGACAGGGACCAAACGCACAAATTACCCTAAACCATAGGGACCTTCCGAGTTAAAAAAATAAGTTAGGGACCAAACGCACAAATTACCCTAAACCATAGGGACCATGCGTGTAATTTACTCTTTTTTAATATAATATAATCCACTTTGTAGTTTTACGTTATTTTAAACTATTATTATTTTTACTTAATTAAAAACTATTTGTTTGAAATTTTTTCATTATTATATTAAAAAAAAGTTAGCATACTTAACTATTGTACTTTTACTTTTGTCCTTAAAACTTTGAATATGAGATATTGGTAGGGAATGAAATGTCCAAGTGAAATAATGATTTGAAATTCAAATTTATAGTAATTGTTAAGTACTAAGACCAATCTTAAAAAAACATGTTTAAAAGTGGGTTAGGAAGTGGGGAGTGTTATACGTGAAATATATTTTTAGCACTTATATTTTCTTATAAAAGTATTAATATTTTCTTTATTTTTACTTTAATTTTACGGTGAAGAACAAATAGGAAAAAGAAAATTGACTAATGTAATAAGATATAATAGAGTGCTTATTTTTATTAATATAAAAAACATTTAAAAAAGGATACATAGATATAAATTTTGCGAGAACATAATGAATGTATTTTTATAATACATAAATAATCCTTGGGTTTCAACAATGAAGTCATATCATATTTAAAATCATTCGTTCTAATTCGTCGTTATCACCAACAATTTGGAATAATAATTGTACTCCTTTTATCAAAATCAATTATCAAAAGTTTCATCAATGTTGTTTACAACAAAATAAACGAAAGAAACTAACATAGTATTTAACTAATAGCATGAAATACATGTTGAATAATGTTCTTTTGGACAGAAAAATAGATTGTTTTAACATAAAAGAGAAAGACGACATAAAGATACATACATGTTAACAAAGTTAATTGCTCTAACTACAAATAGCCTAAAGGTTGATTTACCAAAAACTCATGAGAAGTAATTATCAGTCTCACTTCATCATCTTGTGTTTATAAAAAGATCCATCACATAAAATTAAAAATATCGTCTCAAAGTATACATTTACACATATACCCAAATTTAAAGCTTGGTTAATATATAAACTTTATATGTACCAAATTTGTATTTACTTGCATTTACATTTGAAAAAGTTGCAATTGCTCTCATACATCCATGGAACCACTCGCATAACTCTTCAAACTCTACCAATATAATCTATCATTTTGTGTTGACATACATGCAATATGTAAGCTATAATGTTCTTATATAGGCTAAATATTTCATTTAACCTATCAATTAAATAGCATGATTTGAAGAGTTTTAGAAGTTACAAATCACAACATTTCAATTAATCATAAATTAAATTATATAAGTTGAATAGTCTTGAAAGTTTCAAATGCATGAAGTTCAAAGAAAAATATTTGTTTTATAAGATAGATAAATATAGATATAGATATAGATAGATAAAGAAAAATGTTTGTTTTTTAAGATAGAAAGATATAGATAGAGATACACATAGATAGATTAGTAAAGAAAAAACACCCTCACCTCCCACACACTCATCTTATTTTTCTCTCTCTACTCTTCATGTTCTAACTAAACACTCCCTGCTAAAAGAGGAAGTCTTGGCAATATTAAACCAACTTTAGCAAGGTGGTATGGAGATCGGTATCGTGCTTGAAGTGGTAGTGCATTGCAATATAATTTTTATTTTATTTAATGAGCTTATTATACATAAACACATATTCATGCATTGATATGCATATATTACTCGTAGGCACATTTTATTTAATTTTTTCAATCACGTTAGTTTGGAATTATCTTTGGAATTATAATTTTGGAACTTACTTTCAACTAGTGATTTTTTGTGAATGTTTGATCTAAATCACTTAGATCTTTATTCTTAGCTTGTAAATCATTGGATTAATGATGAAATAAGGATGTTATTTAATGTTTATAACAAATATTTGAATGTTAGTAATCATCCAAAGTCATTATATTTTGAAAGAAGGAAGTTAGTATTGGTTTGGATAAGTTTTGAAAGTTCAAATGAAAATAAAGTCGAAGTGTTGTTATCAGGAGAATCTAATTACAAGACAAATTCTATTTGACAAAGTAAACCTTTATTACTACAGGAAAAAAATGTCAAAAAATAATAAAATCAGTCTCATATGTAATTAGTCCCCAACGCATGAGAGACTGGTTTAGTCCTTCATTGGCTAGTCCTAAATAATAGTTTTTTAGTGTATCTAAATAGTTTTTTTTTTACGTATTTAGGACTGAAAATCAGTCCCTAATAAAATCTTTGATACAACCTAATTCAGTTTCTAATATTTTCTTTATATTCTTAGTTTTATATATATATATATATATATATATATATATATATATATATATATATATATATATATATATATATATATATATATATATATATATAAGTCTTGATACTATCTTCTGATTAAAGTCCTTAATGTCTATTTGAAATCACTTATGGTTTATCAATGACTAAATTCGTCAGAGTTTTAATGAGTTAAAGATTATTTTTTTTGTGTATGATAAAGGCCATTATTGTGTATGGTGATAACGTAATACCTATCTAAAAATAGGGCCTACATTTGTTTTTATGGATTTCCAGAACAGTTTGAGCATTCAGACTCTTTCTAGCAACGCTGGGCAATAGTGTATATATTTTGTATTGGTTTGTATTGTATTTAGCCTTTTAGCATAGCCCATATGGACAGGCCCTTGAGCCCATTGTATCATGTATTTATATATACTTTCCTGTTTAATGAAATCAGTTATGGGAAAACATCCGTCAAAAGTCAAAACACAAAAAATATCATTTACAACTTGCAAGTACTAGTATATAAGGAGGAAATTGTTCAATTATCCTTGATGTAACTATTAAACGTATGGTACATACCCAGCAAAACTGCCAACATAGCTTAATTATATCCCATACAGACAGACGCTGTTTTTTGTTTCTTCTACTCAAAGCTACAAGGAATTAATCGGACTTTTTATCTCGACGCACACCCGCAAACTGTTTGTCTTCTCCCATCTTTCTTTGGATTTCATTTCTTTCCCTGAAGTATTGATCGAATGCTTTTGGAAGGAACCTCGGAATCAAAAACACAAACATATTGATCGAAAAATATCCAAGATTTGCCACGGCTAAACCCCTTCCAAACCAAAACCATGCTACATCCTGCTCCAAAAACATAACACCGGCTAGAAGAATGAATGAACGGAAAAAAAATAATAAATTATAAAAATAACTTGATCTAAGATGAACAAAAAAGAAACATTAACTATATATATATATATATATATATATATATATATATATATATATATATATATACCTGGATTTGGGCATTTGGAGAGAGGGTCTTGTTAAGCCACACATCTTGAACCCAATCCAAAATAACAAAGATCCTTCTAACAGTATACAAAATTGGTACTAAAGCTCTTACCGGAGGTGAAAACAAAGATAAGCCACTTATGATGTTCTCGGTGAGTATCTGACATGAAAGAAGAAATAAGTGGGGTGTTGCTGACTGGACAGCATGTTCGTCTCCCCTTGCAAATCCGCCTAGAACATAAGCCAATGGTAAAAACAATCCAACTGTGGTACCGAATATCACGTATGCTCGGAACACCCGGTTTCCTTGGAATATTTCTTTAGAAGTGGTGGTGGTGGAACCGGGAAAAGCTAGCCGTGATAAGAGGAGGAGGTAGATGGTGGTGAAAACCGGGAAGGCGAGGTCAAAAAGTGGGACCAGACCACTGGCTGAGAACACCATAATGAAAGCTACCAGTTGGAGTTCAATCACACGAAGGGACCCCATTATCCCACCCACCACCGTCTGTTCTTGCTGACGGTGGTGCTGGGTTTTCTGGTCGGCCGTGGTCGTGGTGAAGGTTTCATCGGGATCGGATCGAGGAGCCACCGCGAGGGATACACCCGACATATCGAGTAACTGAAAGCTAAGAACGATGAAATAAGAGATCTTAATAGTTAGCTCCTTGAAGTAGATTTTCTTTCAAACGTGCACAGAAAAGAAAAATGAAGAAGGAGCGAGGCATGATAACGGATAAAAGCTAGCGCAGAAGATGATATCGGAGATGCCGGGATTAGATACGTGTCATATTTACAGCTCATTTGTTACCACGTTGCATTTATCGCTTTGCACACGTGTAAATGAAGATTTTGTTGCTTATCAAAATCACCTCCCATCTCAATGCAATATTATGTCGGATCATTTGCGCTAGATTCGTTTGGTTCATTTTTTGGGAGGTTTTTACCAAAATATTGTAAATTAAAAAAATATTTACGAAAGTCTAGTAGTTTTAAAATTATTTACAGAAACATGGTAAAAAGGATTTTACATGTGAAACCATTTTCCTTATAAAGATAATAAACAAATAAAATCACTCTTTTTATTTGTAAGGACCATCATACCCTTGAGATTGGTTTGCTCGCCGGGATGTTTGCTTAATCCCTAATTTGAAATTATATACAACCTCTACGTAGGGATGCAAACGGGTGCGGATATTGGCGGATACTGCCATACCCGTCCCCGAACCCGACCTCCGATACCCACACCCAGCCCCGCCAAATGCCCGACGGATTCGGGTGAAAAAATCCCCGCCGGATTCGAGGAACCCGATGGATACCCGTTAAGTAATAAGTATTATTTTAAAAAAACATAAAATATAAAAAACAACAATATTAACAACAATCACTTTATTCTGGTATATGAAAATATGAAATTGTTTAAAATATTAAAATATGAATTTTTTTAGTAAATAAACAATTAAAAAAAACGGATTCTTAAGTAAAAGTTTTGACACTCAACTTTCGCCATTTGAAATTGATGTATAGTAATTTCATTATGGGGTTGGCTAAAAAGACACCCTTTTTTACCATTTAGACAACCCTAATTAATTTTGAAGTATTTTTATTGGTTGAAATTGCATTGTTTTCCGAAATCGAAGAGCCACTTAGACACCCCTTTCATTATTTGTTGCAGTTTGCTTACTAAATCGAAGAGCCACACTTCCACACGCATACTAAACTCATCAATACCCTATGCCTCGGTTACTTAAGATGCATTTAATAAAAGCGATTTTTGGTAATTTTATATATATATATATATATATATATATATATATATATATATATATATATATATATATATATATATATAACCAAAGGGCTTCTAGCCCAGCGGTATCCGGTGTTGCCCTCCCTCCTTGAGGTTGAGGGTTCAAGTCCCGTCGTGGACATAGGTGGATTTAAGGTGTAGTTTTAGGAGTAGGTTAGATTTGCCGTTTCAATATATATATATATATATATATATATATATATATATATATATATATATATATATATATATATATATATATATATTGGGTCTTTAACGGGTCGGATAATAGTATATCCGTCCCCGCCCCGTCCCCGCTTCGGGTAAGAAATCAAATACCCATCCCCGACCCGTTACCCGATCCGCTTGCATCCCTACCTCCAAGTGTTTCTTGAGTTCTCAGAAACCATGCATGGATCTAACCCTCTCCTTTCATCGCATGATTCCTCCATTGTTTCTCGCTCTTAAAGTTCTTCACTCCTCTCAGTGAGCTATAAACCTCATTCGCCATCCTCCTCCACATCGTCTGAATCCACATCGTTGTAACCATGGTCCATGGCGGTGGTGGTATGGTTGCGGTGGAGGTTGCTACGATGGCAACAACATGCCGCACATCCGAGTGCTTTTGTTGTTGCTTGAAGACATGAACTCCATGTATCCTCAAGTGATATTCTCATAGATGAAAGCCGCATCGTTCTTTAAGCGCTCTAGGGTACAACACTGACGGTGGCTTTAATAGTCAATATCCGACTGCTCATTTCGGTGTAACTGAAATACCAGATCCACCATATCGATATGGGTTAGATTCATCCATGATTTCTAAAGAGGACTCAGGAATTATATCAAGTGAAAACATTGTATATTATTGCCATATAATAATGGTCTCTGGCAAGTAAACCAAACTCAAAGACAAGACAGTAAGGAGCATTAACAAACTAAGCTTGTGTATAGATTATTTTTTGAAATCCATTCATGAAGATTAGCTAAACGGCTAGATTTGGGTGAAAACAGAGAAACGACCAACCAAGTTGTAGCAATATATAGTGGAGAGATGGTGAAATGGATGGAGTACAGCCTGTGCAAAGATGGTGAATCGATGCTAAACCATTAGGTTTACAACCGTGAGGTTCTTAATAATATCTTTAGTAAAATTAACGGTGAGCTATTTTAAAATTTCCGGCGAGATCAATGCATGTGAGAAGAAGATGAGTCCATTTATTTTTATTTTAAATAAAGAGATGGAAACTCGTGCTCCAAAACAACGTTTTCTAATTTCTACTATGTTTCCGTAAATAATTATAAAACCACAAGACTTTGGTATATATTTTTCAAAAGTACAAGCCTCTAGAACAAAACTCCATTTTTCGGATGGTGTGGTTCTTTTGTATCTTAGGCTGGAGGGAGTGGCCCTCGCTAGGGACTCGCCTCCAGCTCGTCAACCTCGCCAAATCCACTCCCATCAAACTCGCCAGAAGCATCTCCAACATTGTCTCGCCATCCCACTAACGAGAGGAAAGAGAAAGAGAAAAGAAGAGAAGAGGCTTCCTATTGGCTGTTTTATTTTTTTTTCTTTTTTATTCCAAAATAAAACCTAGTATTAAATAACACAACATTTGGGATGCTACCACTCTTTACCTTTTAACAACCTCATGCTATCATTTTCTTTATCCTACATGGCTTCAAAAAATCTTATGTGGCAAAGTGTTAGGAGTGCTACCACTCCTCTTAGCCTTAGAGTCAATAGTTTTTTCGTAAATAAATAAGAAAATGTGTAAATTTTATTATGCCACATGTGATAGGTGGCTAAATTTCATGGATGGTATGTTTAGTGTAGTTAGTAGCCTGTGTATTTAGTCTTTAATTTTTTTTGTAACATTCTAAAAATTAAAAATTAAGATAAAATTTTCATTTTTTCAAAATCAAACCACAAACCATAAATGTTTATAAAACTTAGTTTTCAAAAGTCAAAATCACAAATCAGAGTATCTCAAAATCAAATTTCATAAAAACTGAAGGATGTGCACGATCAAACCTTCACTTTGCCCCGATCATCTGAAATACCTAAAACATAAAACTTAAACTATAAGTCAAAGTTTAGTTTCCCCAAATACCACACAATAGAACATATACAAATAATACATTCTGGGTCCACAACCTCCTGGTTGGATTACCCCTGGCCTACAATCTACCGGTTGGATTGCCATACATATTGCATACTGGGTCCACAGCCTCCCGGTTGGATTACCCCTGGCCCACAACCTTCCGGTTGGATTGTCTGGGTTTGTTGACTGGCACCACAAAGCAGTACAGTCTCAACCCAACCACACTATGTCGACATGTATAACAGATAAAACACACAACAACAAACAAATAATCATGCAGATCTTAACAGATTACTACAAAATAACAACATTCTAAACCAGAATACACAATCTACTAGGTTGGCATTGGTGTCTTCGACCCACAAGTACAGTGAGGAAAACTCACCTCATAGTCTGAAAAGATAGCAGAAAAGAACATTGCTCCAAATGCCAACTCTACAGGTCACATATACAACAAACAGTGACCTAAACTCAAACTACAACTCAAAATACCAAAAATGCCCCTAAGTCAATTTGGTCAAACCCGTAGTCAAAGGTCAAAGTCAGCAAGATAAATGTAACGTCGTGAAAATTCAAACTAATTTTTCATTTTCAATTCATAAAAACATATATTATATTGTTCAACTCCAAATATTCATTTAACAAAGTTTTCAAATCATCACATAAGATCTAGGATCCACAGTAGCTCTTCCCAAAACATAGTGTGTGTGTACAATCATGCCGGTGCCTTCCCGCGATCCTGATAAAAACCTGAAACACATAACATGGTAAGCACGAAGCTTAGTGAGTTCCCCAAAATACTACATACAGCACATAAGCCACTCGAGGCTATAGCTCTACGAGACCTTCCGGTCAATGTGTCTCAGGGGCCTTCCGGTCCCACAATCTGAGTAGACCTTCCGGTCCTACTCTGTCGACCTTCCGGTCCATACCATATTGACCTTCCGGTCCATACACTGCTGACCTTCCGGTCCATACACTGTTCACCTTCCGGTCCATACCATGCTACTCATAACATACATAACATATACATCTCACCTAACAACATATATCACATACTCGTCATAGTACATAAGACCTTCCGGTCACACATAATTACCACTCTAGGTAAGGTATAGTGAGAAGACTCACCTCGTATGATGAACAGCCTCTAGTAATGCTGCCGCTATACTTCGTTCTCTAACTCTGTGCAAAAGCCCACAATCACCCCAATTAGGTACTACGTCCAACTCTCACTCTTTAGGTCTAATAATAGCCCACTGACCAGCCCAATAATGACCTAAACCCATTGGACCCACCAAGGCCCAATTCTCAATCTAATTGGCGGGCCCAACACTAGATAAACTTCCTAAGTCCACTAACGGCCCACTTTGCTAAACTGGGCCCACTCCCTCCAATGGGCCTCACCCTAAACTCAAATACATCATTGGCCCATAACTTCAGACTATTGATGGCCCAACTGCCCAAGGCATGGCCCAAAGCATGGCCCAAAACACAAAGTCCAATACAGACAAGTTACGCGGGGCGTACTCCTACGTACGCTAAGCGTACCGACTCGATGGCGAGTACGCTGGGCGTACCTGCACGTACGCTCAGCGTAACCTTCCTGTTAAGCCCTTTTTCCATTAAGTGCTTAATACTTCATTCCAGAGGCCACAAATTCAGATCCAGGTCCTTATTATCCTCTTAATCCTTAAAGTCATAATCTTGGTGACTTGCAAT